ACCCCCCCCCCCCAAGGGACATGGCCTCTTTCTATGATGTTAAGCATATATGCATATGCAAATGGTGTGATTTTCAAGCCACTGGGTCTGGGGACTATGGTCACCCCTGTGGGACCAGCACCTTAACCACGATGCCACTTGCCGACCTCAATAAGCAGTCATTCTATAGGGCGTGAGCTTGTTGGAGAGACAGAAATAAAGAAAAAAATGAGAAATCACCTCCCAGAGGTGATGGCCATGCTGCAATCCCTGCTCTTCCATTCTCTTCTTGGGGTTTTGGACAAATACACACCTGACATGAGTTTTAGGCCTCTGAGACTCAAACTGGTTGGCCGTGTAGAAGTTCAGCACCTTAATCACCGTGCCACCTGCTGACCCAGCAGGCATTCTCGACAGAACACTGCCTCTTTTTTTAGAAGTAATTGGCAACTTGGTCAGAGAATTCTTTTTAGATTTTTGCTATAGAGCACATATGCTCACCAGAGAAACAGATAGAAAGTGAGCAGTCACTCCTTGGGGAGTAGGGGGTGGCCATGCTGCAAACCTTCTCCTCTGTTTGCCTCTAGGGATTTGGGCACACATGCATATGCGCCTGGCATGAGTTTCAAACTACTGGTTCTGGGACTTAAACGGTTGGTCACATGGGAATCCAGCACCTTAACCACTATGCCCCTTGCTGGCACTGAGAATAATTTATTATTTATTAAGAGACTTTTGCTATAGGGTGTGTGCGCTTGCCAGAGAGACAGACAGAACACCCCCTTGAGGGGGGATTTCAACTATGTGGGAGTCCAGCGACGTAACTATTACACCATCAGCTCGTCCCAATTTTTTTTAAAGTTTTTATTATTTTTATTATATTTTTAAATGTTATGTATTTATCTATTTATTTATTTATTTATAACTTGACCAGAGAGGGACAGAGAAAGAGAGAGAGAAAATGAGAAAGCAAGTTGCCAGGACCAGAACATGAACTAAGGTCGGTCATGTGGGAGTCCAGTGGCCCCAACCACCATGCCACCTGCTGTCCCTTTTAATTTTTTTTTTTTTTGGAGAGGTTTTTGCCATAGATAGAGCTCATGTGCTTGCCAGAAAGACAGAGAGACAGAAGACAGAAAGCGAATAATCACCTCCCAGGGGGGGATGGCCACGTCACAATTTCTTCTCCATCCTCCTCTCGAGATCTTGGGCACGCACATACACGCGCCCAGCATTTTAAGCCACCTGGTCTGGGACTCCAACCATGGTCGACTATATTGGAGTTCAGTGACATAGCCATTATGCCACCTGCTGATCTGAGCTCTTTTAAAATTTTTTAAAGAAATTATCTTTTTTTTTTTTTTTGGAGAGGTTTTTGCTATAGGGTGTGTGGGCTCTCCAGACAGACAGAGACAGAGAGACAGAAAGCAAGAAATCACCCCCAGGGGGGATGGCCACGCCGCAATCCCTTCTCCTCCATTCTCCTCTCGGGCTCTTGGGCATGCACGCATGCACACCCGGTGTGAGTTTTAAGCCACCGGGTCCGGGACGTGAACTGCGGTCGACTACGTGGGAGTCCAGCGACATAGCCATTACACTAACTGCTGGTCCCAAGAACGTATCTATTGAGGGAACCAGTGGGTGATGTGGTGGTTAAGGTGCTGGACACTCCCACACAAGTAACCATGGTTCAAGTCCTGGACCTGGTGACTTGCTTTCTCACTTTCTCTATTTCTTTCTGTGTCTCTCTCTGGTCAAATTAAAATGAATGAATGAGTAAATAAAATTAAATAATTCTTTAAAAAAAAAATTTATTGAGGGGCCAGCAGGTGGTTGCGGTGGTTAAGGGTGCTGGATTCCCACATGCCAACCACGGTTCAAGTCCCAGACCTGGCAGCTTGTTTTCTCACTATCACTCTCCCTCTCTCTCTGGTAAAACTGAATACTACCACTACTACTACTAATAATAATAATAAGTAAATTTTTAAAAAATTACTTATTGAGACTAGCAGATGGCATAATGATTATGTGACTGGACTCCCATTTAGTCAACTGCAGTTCAAGTCCTGCACCCAGTGACTGGAAAAATAAAAAACGAAACTGACTTAAATTCAAATTGGAATTTCTCATTTTTTTTGGCAGGTGGAAAGTTGGAAAGCCTACAATATTTGGGGTCTTTTTTTCTCAGTGCTGGAACATGCCTGAAACTCCCCTGATGGCATGCCAGCAGGAAAAGAAATAAATATGGTGCCTGAAGGCAGAGCAGGGTCCTGAGGATTCTGCCATCCAGGGATCTCTTGGTTATCAGGGAGCCTGTGGTGCACATTCTGTTTGGGAAAGAACGGAAAAACCCACTGTCTGGTTCTCTAATAGAGCTACAGTGTTCACACAGGAGGTTAACATCTGAGTATTTTTTCAGATACAGTGGTGGCTTCTACAGCTGGCCCAGGAACTAGAGGAGAGACTGACCAAAGATCGAAATGATGTAAGATTTTCTTTCTTTATTCCTGGATGTGCTTTGCGAGTTCTATACCAGCTGCTTCTTACTTTATGCACTAGGAACAAGGATATGAAAAGGTATCAGCCTAGGAAACTTTTAAGAAATAACTTTGGGGTGGGGTAGGGGGCGGGACCGGCAGATGGCATGGCGGTTACATTGCTGGACTCCCACATGGTCCACCTGGTTCAAGTCCCACACCCAGTGGCTTGAAATTCATGCTGGGTACGTGTGTGCATACCCAAGACCTTGGGAAGAAAATGGAGGAGAAGGGATTGCTACGTGGCCATCCCCTCTGGGGGTCGATTTCTCACTTTCCCTCTGTCTCTCTCTCTCTCTCCAGCGAGCACACCAATGAACTCATACAGTACATGGCCTTTAGTGACTAGCTTGAAATCTTTAACATAATGTGTTCAAGTTTCACCCATTTTGTAGCAATGATCAGTACTTTATTCCTTTATACGACTAATCCGTTATATGGTTATACCGCATTTTGTTTATCCATTCATTAGTGAATAGACATTTGAGTTGTTTCCACTTTTTCACTACTATGAATCATGCTACTGTGAACATGCACATCTAAGCTTTTGTGTAGGCATTGCTAGGTTATTTTGAGGAATTGCAGATGGTTGTCCATAGTGGCTGCACCATTTTATATCCCTGCCAACAATGTAAGAGGGTTCTAGTTTTCCACACTGGTGTTACTTTTTTCATTTTAGCCATGTTTTCCTTTGAGCAAGAAAGAGACAAACATGCAACCTTAACAGGCTCTCATGCCGCCATCCTCCCCTCAGAGTCCCATTTTTGCAGACAGCCAGCATCATGGGTACATGTACATACAGCATATGCAAACAGACCCTGAACCAAACCCTGATGTTCGTATGGCTCCAGCATTGTGGAGCATTGCATTACCAACTGCCCTGCTGCAGGAGGCCTCTCAAATCCCTCTTTATGATGCCTTCCAAAGAAACAAACATCCAATTCCAGGTAAAAAGGAGCAAACAGTAGTTTGGGACTATTCTCCATAATACATAGTTGACTTGTAGGACTCCAAGACATTCCAAAGGAGAGGATACAGGGCCAGTCTCGTGGCCTGGTGGTTAAAAGAGCCAGATCCCACATGGCCCGTGGCTCCTTTCAAGTCCCAGCCCCAGCAACCTAAAAAGCACACTAGGCACACTGTGCATGCATGCTGCGAATCTGGATAGGATGGAAAAACAAGGGATTCCAGCAAGATCATGCCCCACTAGAAGGTGCTTCTTCCTTTCCTTCTTTCTGTTCCTGTTGAGCACACGTGCCCTCTGGCAGGGAAAAAAAGAGAGAAGTACAAAATTGTCGTTTTCTCCTTTTTGCCTAGAATTAAGTGCTTCTTTGGAAAGCATCGTAAAGAGGGATTTGAGGGACCAGCAGTTGGCTTAATGGCTATGTTGCTAGATTCCCACATGGTCGACCGTGGTTCGAGTCCTGGGCAGGGACCCTGTGACTTAAACTCATGCTGGGTGCGTGTTTGTGCATGCCCAAGATCCCAGGAGGAGAATGGAGGAGAAGGGATTCTGGCTTGGCCATCCCCCCAGTAGGTGGCATGTTGGTGAAGGTACTGGACTCCCACATGGCCAACCATGATTTGAGTACCAGAACTGGCAGCTTGAAACTCATGTGGGCACATGTGCATGCATGCCTAAAATCCTGACAGGAGAAGGGATTGCAGTGTGGCCAAACCCCCACCCCCGGGGATGGGGGGTGATTTCTCGCTTTCTGTCTCTCTGGCAAGCACATGCAGCCTGTGACAAGTCTTTCTCTCAAAAAAAAGGGGGAGGGAGGGATTTGATTTCAAGTTGTTTTATTGACCTACTCAACTTTGCCCACTAGATGTCACTTGGTTCTCGTGTCTCCATAAACCCCTGGGGCTTTCTTCCTACTCTGTAACCAAGGCAACACACAACTGCTGTCTGAAAATTAATCTATCTTTAAGCTTCAGAAGACTTATGCCAGTAAAAATTTGGGACATAGCAGATCCTATCACTTCACTGTTTAAAACATTCTAGTGACTTCCGTTCATACTTAAGCCATGTTAGTGTTTTGTTTTGCTTTAATTCTATAAGGCCAAATACGATCTGATCTCTGGCTACTTATCTTACTTCATTCCTGTCTTCTCTCACTTTGCTGTAACTTTTACCACTGGCCTCCTTCCTTTTTCTCTAACACACCTAAGCTCTCACCTTAGCACCCTGCATTGTACTTGCCGTTTCTTTGCCCTGGAGAAGCTTTGCTCACACACACACAAACACACACACACATCTTTTTTTTTTAAAAGAGAATTATTGCTATAGGGCATGTATACTTGCTGGAGACAGAAAGAGAAAGCAAGAAATCACACCCCCCCCAACAGGGATAGCCATGCTGCAATATCTTCTCCAGTCCTCTCTCAGGATTTTGGGCACACATGCACACGTACCAGCGTGAGTTTCAAGCCACCGGGTCTGGGACTTGAACCTTGGTCAGCCATGTGAAGTCCAAAGACGTAACCACTATGGCATCTGATGATCCCATATATTCTTAAAATTTGCTTCCTTGAGGCCAGCAGGTGGCATGGTGGTTAAGGTGCCTATCTCCTACATGAGTGAGCACAGTTCAAGTCCCAGACCGGGCAGTTTGAAAATCACACTGGGTGTGTATGTGTGCCCAAAATCAACACACAACTGCTGTCTGAAAATTAATCTATCTTTAAGCTTCAGAAGACTTATGCCAGTAAAAATTTGGGACATAGCAGATCCTATCACTTCACTGTTTAAAACATTCTAGTGACTTCCGTTCATACTTAAGCCATGTTAGTGTTTTGTTTTGCTTTAATTCTATAAGGCCAAATACGATCTGATCTCTGGCTACTTATCTTACTTCATTCCTGTCTTCTCTCACTTTGCTGTAACTTTTACCACTGGCCTCCTTCCTTTTTCTCTAACACACCTAAGCTCTCACCTTAGCACCCTGCATTGTACTTGCCGTTTCTTTGCCCTGGAGAAGCTTTGCTCACACACACACAAACACACACACACATCTTTTTTTTTTAAAAGAGAATTATTGCTATAGGGCATGTATACTTGCTGGAGACAGAAAGAGAAAGCAAGAAATCACACCCCCCCCAACAGGGATAGCCATGCTGCAATATCTTCTCCAGTCCTCTCTCAGGATTTTGGGCACACATGCACACGTACCAGCGTGAGTTTCAAGCCACCGGGTCTGGGACTTGAACCTTGGTCAGCCATGTGAAGTCCAAAGACGTAACCACTATGGCATCTGATGATCCCATATATTCTTAAAATTTGCTTCCTTGAGGCCAGCAGGTGGCATGGTGGTTAAGGTGCCTATCTCCTACATGAGTGAGCACAGTTCAAGTCCCAGACCGGGCAGTTTGAAAATCACACTGGGTGTGTATGTGTGCCCAAAATCCCAAAAGGAGAATGGAGGACAAAGGATTGTAACAAGGCTGTCCTCCTAGGGATGATTCCTTGCTTTCCTTTCACTGTCTGTTTCTAGTGAACATATGTTTTTGCACCCTATGGCACAAACCTAAAAAAAGAAATAATTGCTTCTTCACTTTATTCAGATCTCTGCTCAAATTTCACCTTCTCTAAGAGACTTTCTCCAGTAACCCTGTGACGTCATAAGCTGTCACTCTCTGCCTTACTCTGCGTTTTCCCGTAGCACTCATCTCTGGCATTTCTGTGACAGATCTGCTTGTTTATTATCTGCACTCCCGGGACAGCGGTTTGCGAGCCCTGTGGGTTATGCTCTTTTCTCCTGTATCTCTAGGAACCTTCTAGAGATACATAGTAGGCATTCAGTTAAAGTTGAAGGGATTTGGTCAACAAGGATGCCTTTGTTGTGGCCAGTTTGTACTCTGTCAAGATACACAGATCCGGACAGATGTGTTTGTAAATAGGTGTGGCTCAGCTCGTTTGCCTTGGGGACATTTCTTCTCTCTAGTATCTTGATTGGTTTGAGAGGGGATCCCTATGTGGACTTTTTACCTTCTTATATTTCTGACTCTTATATTTCTTGACCTTTATTCCTCAGTGTGCTGAGTGTCACGAAACTCAGATGCCTAGACCTCCCTGGGGAGTGCAGCAGTGACCCGCTTTATAGAGGCAGGCTGGCTGCACCGAGTAGTCCACGGTATGGGCTGGGGGATGTGCTAGTGCAACCTTCTGCTGCTGGCTTTGTGGGTTGTTTGTTTTTCTTAAGAGATTTTTGCTATAGGGTGCATGCGCTTGCTGGAGAGACACAGAGAGAGAGAGAGAGAGAGAGAAAGAGAGAGAGAGAAAGCAAGAAATCCCCCCCCCCCCAGAGGGGATGATCACCCTGCAATCCCTTCTTCATTCTCCTCTTGGGATTTTGGGCACATACACATGCACGCTTGGCATGAGTTTTAAGATGCTGGTTCCAGGACTCGAACTGTGGTCAACTACGTGGGAGTCCAGCTGCTGCTCGTCTAAACAAGAGCATCAGGGCAGAAAAAAGACAAGATTTGCACCACTACTCGATCTTAACATCCTAGCTTTGAGACACCTGAACTCCTTCCCTCACTCACAAAATTGAATATATTGGGTTGTTGGGAAAGTTACGATGCATTTTTGCATAGAAAAATACGTCATGACTTTTCCGACCACCTAGTAGTGTTACTGTAAGTGTTTATAATCTTTTTGCTTAGACATTACAAAGAACATTTAGGACAGTCCCATTTTCTTTTTTTAATTTTTTTAATTTTTAGAGGTTTTTGCCGTAGGAAATGTGTACTCACCTGAGAGAGACAGTGAGAGGGAAATTGAGAAATCACCCCCAGCGGGGATGGCCACTTGCAATCCCTTCTCCTCTGTTCTCCTCCTGGGATCTTGGGTGTGCCCACACACACATCCATGGTGAGTTTCAAGCCACTGGTTCTGGGACTCAAATCAGTCAGCCATGCCAAGTCCAGCTACGTAACCAATATATTATTTACTATCCCATTTTAATTTATTCTGTCCTGTTCCTATCACCTGTCAAAATACCCTAGATATTCCGTACTTGATCCTAGCTGAAAAGCAACATGTAATGCTAATATTCCATCACCTAAATTATATCTCCTCCAATTACTTCTTACACCCAGAAACAGCACAACCATTTTGGAATTTAAGGTTTTTGCTATAAGGCGCTGTGCTCACTGAAGAGAGGACAAGTGAGAAGTCACTGTCTAGGGAGAGGGCCATGCCACAGTCCCCTCTCCTTATTTTCTCAGGATTTTGGGCACGCATGCACACATGCCCAGTGTGATTTTTTTCAAGCCATCAGGTCCGGGACTCACACCATGACAGCCATGTGGGAAGTGCCTTAACTATCATGCTATCTGCAGGCTCCCAGCACAACTATACATATGTATTTTGGGAAACCGTGTGATTAGGCTTTTATTCAGAAAAGGAGATTGTACAGTATGTAATTTATACCATTAGCATATAAGATGTATCAAAACAGTGGACCAGCAGTTAGCATAATGGCTATGTTGCTGGACTCCCCTGTAGTGGACTGCGGTTCAAGTCCCAGATCCGGTGGCTTAAACGCACGCCGGGCACATGTGCGTGCATGCCCAAGATCCCGAGATAATGGGGGGGAAGGGATTGCAGCGTGGCCATCACCCCTGAGGGTGATTTCTCACTTTCTGGCGAGCGCACGCGCCCTATAGCAAAAAAAAAAAAAAAAAAAAAAAACCTCTCCGCCCAAAAAAATGTATAAGAACAGGAGGTGACTGCATCCAGCGTGTCCTGTGCATACCAGGCACTCGGTGCACTTTGGGAATTTACGTGAATAGACACTGGGATAATAACAGCCTCGTTCTCTGCTTGCTACACCTGTGTTCTTGACTTTTAAACTGTTGGCAAAACATCCTTTCACCCTTGTTCTTGTAATTTGCTCTTGTGCAGTTCAGTATGTAAGAATCCAGATGCTCCTGGTAACTTTGTTTCTGGTCTCCATTTTTTTCCCAACAGAATGACAGGGTGGCCACCCAGTTGGCTGTGAGCATTCGTGTACAAGGAGACAAACGTCTGAGCAGCCTGCGCCGCTGCTGTGCTCTCAGCCACTACGACGCGCACAAGATGAGCCACGATGCATTTGCTGCCATCAGGAACTGTAATACTTCTGGGATCCAAACTGAATGGTGAGGGCTTTTTTTTCATTCCCTTAGCTCCTCTCAAAGACTTATGCCCATCTTAGCTAAAATCAGTGGGCATCTAAGCTCTTCCGGGTGGGATAGGCTCTCTGTGACTCGGACTAGCTTTACTGTGGAGCGGAATGGTGACGCACAAAGGGAAGAATCACAGTCCCAGAAACAAGCCAGCTCAGCCGCAGCTTCTCCGCCTGTATTTGCTGCGTCCTAGTTCCAGGGCCAGTGAGACGGCAGTGTGAGCCGGTATGATCTCTGCCCGTGTTACCTTGCTGTCCTCAAGGATATGGCCAATTGCACTTGGAGAACAGAGCTCAGGTTTAAAGAATACACTTGGAAACCCTTCTCTCAACTGGGTATTCTACCTTAAAAGCATCTTTATTGACTATCAAACTGACTCATTATTTATTGATAACCTCTAACATCCTGTTACAAGCTCCACTGGTATTAAACCAGATGTCACATTCATTAATAAATTTCAGTTCTGTTGGTCATGAAATAAAATCAAATAAATGATTAAGAATCTTTTGGAGCATATTCATTTTCTGTCCAGATACTAATGATCTTTTTAGAATTGGAATCCTTTATTTAACATAGCTTGTTACATTAAAAAAGCTATTCCAAATTCAGTGGAAATATAATTGAGAGAGTAATAAATTGGCTAATGTACACATGCATATTGAAGATTATTTTTAAAAATCAAAGTTTAGCTTAATCTGATTAAGCCTACGTTGCTTATCTAAATATTTTGACACCACTCTTATATATGCAGACCTATAAGGTGGGCTCTCTAAAGTTGGAGTGTTTGTAACTAGAATAATTTACTTACCTTTTACTTCCTGTTACATTCTTTTTTCAAATACTGAACAATTTTACTGAGCCAAATGATAATATGAAACCTTATCATATGAAACTTTATCTGAAAACTTAAAAATTCACAAACTGTAGCAAATACTACTCACCAGTAGTGTATTTATTTACTCAAGTTTTTTCATTTTCCCCATGAGTGAAAGACAAGACCGTCTTTTTTTTTAATAATTATTTTATTTAACTTTATTATTTATTCATTTGTTTATTTCAGTTTGACCAGAGAGGGACAGAGAGAGAGGGAGGGAGAGAGAGTGAGAAAGCAAGCCGCCAGGTCCAGGACCTGAACCACGGTCGGCCATGTGGGAATCCAGCGCCTTTAACCCCCATGCCACCTGCCAGCCCCAAGACAAGACCGTCTTGATGCCATGATCTATCCCCAGCCAGCCCCAGATGATGAGCACACGTGTGCCTGGCATACTTGAGGAGATCTCTGGACACAAACCCAGAACTTCCCCATGGGTCAGCCCCCCAGAGCGTGGTGTTTCGCTGCCACAGACCAGCTCCTGCATGTTACCTAGTGACCGAGTAACATCAAAATTAAGCTGGGGACAGTGTTATATTGTCATAGTAACTTTAAAGTGGATTTTACTCTTTACCTCATTGAGAGACTAATTCATATGTAAGAGCATGTTACACCTTATGAAATTCAGCTCGTGTGAAAATTTATGGGGGCAGGAAGACCTTATGAGGAACCTCATGACAGTAATTGCTTGGAACGTTTCTGAGACTGGGATTGGCAACCAAAAGTAGTTGTCAAATTTCAGCCTCTAGCAATTCCAGATGGAAAACCTGAGTTACGGTTCGGTAATGCCCTGTTTAAAAACAGAATGGCTGAGGCAGCAGGTGGCATGGTGGTTAAAGCACTGGACTCCCACCTGACCAACTGAGGCTCGAGGCCCAAACCTGGCACATTGCTTTCTCATTGTGCTGCATGTGCTTGCTCTTGCTCTCTGGTGAGCACACATGCTCTAAAGCAAATTATTAATTAAAAATAAAACAATGGCTTAGAGGATTTTTTCAAGTCTTTCCAGTCCAAGTATTCTGAAGATATAAAAATTCATCTTCTCTCTGAGAGTTTTAAACCTAAAGCATTTCTGTTGCCCTGAATAAAAGTTCTAGCCCTACAGCAGTATTTTACGAGTCGTAACACCTTGGCATCACGGGGTCACCAAGTCAGTGGTTCTCAAGATGACCCCAGACCAGCAGTGTCAGCATCACCTAGGAAATCGTTAAAAACTCGGCCTCTGCATTCTGGCTCTGCCGACCCTGTTAATCTGATACCACACTCAAGTGTGCAGTGGGGAAAAATTTCCTTTTGTGGCAGAACCAGAATGAAAGTAATTTATGTAATGAAGCTGTCTTACACTCAGTAAAATTTTTTTTGGAGAGGTTTTTGCTATAGGGTGCGTGCACTCGCCAAAGAAAGACAGAGAGGGAACCAGCAGTTAGTGTAATGGCTATGTCACTGGACTCCCACGTAGTCCACTGTGGTTCACGTCCCGGACCCGGTGGCTTAAAACTCACGCCAGGCGTGTGTGTGTGCATGCCCAAGATCCCGAGAGGAGAATGGAGGAGAAGGGACTGCGGCATGGCCCCCTGCCCTGGGGGGTGATTTCTCGCTTTCTGTCTCTCTGTCTGTGTCTGGCGAGCGCACACGCCCTATAGCAAAAACCTCTCAAAAAAAAAAAAAAAGAAAGAAAGAAAGTGAGAAATCACCCCCCGCCCCAGGGGGGATGGCCACGATGCAATCCCTTCTCCTCCGTTCTCCTCTCGGGATCCTGGGCACGCACACACACGCGCCCGGCGTGAGTTTAAGCCTCCAGGTCCGGTACTCGAGCCGCGGTCGACTACATGGGAGTTCAGCGACATAGCCATTACGCTGACTGCTGGTCCCTACACAAAGTAAATTAACCTGTTGTTAATTTTCCCCTCCCTTTACTTTCTACACAGGTCCCCTCCCCTCACAATGCTTTTCCTCTGTGCCACCAAATTCTCTGCTTGTGCCCCTTCGTCTTGCACAGACATCACCGCCTTCTTGAGCGACTCAAGTTCTCTGCCAAAGATGCCAACTACCAGTTCAGAAGCTAAGGCCCAGGGAAGTAGCCCAGCCGTGACAGCCACTAAGAGAGCACCCAGCTCCCTGGAATCGCTCTTCCAGAAAGCTGCAGAAAGGCAGAAAGTTAAAGAAGCTTCGCTTTCATCTCTTACAGTCACCACGCAGGCCCCCACAAGCAAGTCACCATCCAGGCCCTCATTACCTTTCCAGTCTGTTCGAAATACGGGAACTGAGCCTTTCTTTAAGCAGAAAAGTCTGCTTCTAACGCAGAAAGAGCTTACTAATTCTTCAGTTTCTTCCTCTTCACAAAACCCACAGCCCAGCTCTGAAGGGTTACCTAGCTATTCTCCCACAGACCGTGCCCCCGATTGTGAAGGGGAGTTGAAGCAAGGCCCTTCTAAAGCAGCTCCTGCTGAGATGGATGTAACCCAGAACAGCCCAAGCACACCTGCATGCTCAGCTTCCAAGTCTGCTCTGGAGGTGGCTCAGACTCCGAGTCTTTCAGCTGCAGAGGACCAAGTGCCCTGCGAGAAGTGTGGCTCCCTGGTACCAGTATGGGAGATGCCGGAACACACGGACTATCATTTTGCACTGGAATTGCAGAAATCCTTTTTGCAACCCCACTCGTCCCCCCAGGTTGTCCCTGCCATGTCTCCTAAAGGCAAAAGAAACCCCAAAAGCCCTTTGGCCTCCAGTAATAAACGCACTAGGCCTGAGGGCATGCAGACATTGGAATCATTTTTTAAGCCATTAACACATTAATACTGCTCTCAGGCTTTTTAATATTTTAATATTTTATGTTTACTTTTCAAGGAAGTCTGTAACTTCATGAAATTTTTAATATAAAAAATAGGCTTTGGGTTAAGGTTCTCATCTCTACAGGCATGAATTTCTAATCTCATTGCTGATAGAGATATAAAAATTCATCTTCTCTTTGAGAGTTTTTAATCTTTTGAGTTTAAGGAGAGTGTCAAATAGTAAGTGTGTAGGCCTTGGGGCGTGAGAGACCTGGTTCCAAACCTAGCCTTGTCTCTTACTGCAAGTAGGGCCATGAACAAATGACTTTCTTCTTCATCTGTAAAACAGGTAATAGCTTACAGACTGTTGAAATTATAAATGATATGAAGTACCTGTCTTAAAGATGCCACAGAAAAGAAACTGAGCAAAAAAAAAGATTTTAAGAAACTTTCTTAATGTCACATTGGGCATTTCAGATAATGCCCTGCCTGGAATTCCCTATTTCCAGTTACAAACTGTGAGGTGAAGACCTGAAACCCTAAAAGTGACATGGCTTTGTGTACAAAAGCCACTAAATAAACAGTGTTTTATGTAGTAAACCCTGTTGTACTGTCTTAGCTGCTGGCCTTCCTCCCTCTTGCATTGTTTTCCTGCAGAAGAGACTGCCCCTGGACCTGCTCAGGAGCTCTCAGACTGGATGTCGTGATCAAAGCTGGGTCATCACCAACAGAACCTTGTTATTCCACGTGTGATTTGAAGAACAGCAGCATCCACACCAGGGAACTTGTTAGAAATAAGTCTCAGCCTTGGGCCAACCAGTGGCCTGGTCATTAAGGTGGCTGGCTCTCACATACCCACCAACTGCACGGTTTGAGTCCTGGACCTAATGACTAAAAACACACAGTATGTGTGCATGTGTTCCCAAAGTCCTGAGAGAATGGAGAAGGGATTGTGGTGTGGCCATCACCCAGGGGTGCACACACCCTATGGCAAATTAAAGGAAAAATGTCTCAGCCTCATCCCTACTAGGTCAGGCTCCTTGTTAACACTCCCCCAATATGTATCTTGAAGTCTGGGAAATACTCCTTTAAAAGAGACCAAAGGCCAGGTTTGTAGAGGAAAGTGACATTTCCTTTTAATTTTTTTAATTAAAATTGTAACTTTTTTAATAGAGGTTTTTGCTAGGGTATGTGCGCTTGCCAGAAAGACAGAGACAGACAGTGAGAAATCCCCCCCCCAGGGGGGATGGCCACACTGCCATCCCTTCTCCATTCTCTCAGGATCTTGGACACACACGCACATGTGCCTTGCATAAGTTTAAGCCACTGGGTCCGGGAAGTCCAGCGACATAGCCACTGTGCCAACTGCTGGTCCCAACAGTGACATTTCCTTAAACCTTTAAGTATAAATGGAGAGGTAAGTGTTGTGTCTTTAGATTATTGGCATGTGCATCTTTTCCCCATTTAAGAATGAATATGTAGTTTTAAGGTTTAAAATTCATTATAGCTTTTTACATTTATGTTTATAGTGCTATTTCTTAATCTTTACTCTTAAGGGAAGTCAGCTCTCTTGGCTCCTCTGATACGGGGAACTGTGAGAGTGACATAGAGCTAGGGATTGGTGGGCTGAGTGGGTAGGGATACTGGTGTACATGCACACTGACCTCTCCCACACGTATACAAACCAGCCCCTACTTTTAAGCTTCTTTGTAAGTTGGGGGTCTATATTACTCTGAAGATTGTGGGAAGGTTTGAAACTCCTGGGTGTAGCAGGAAATTACTTTTATGTTACTTATTGTCTAATAAAAGACAATTTGCTATGTATGTGGCCTTTAAGTACGGAGATGTGATTTTCCTTTTTTTTTTTTTTTTTTTTTTGAGAGATTTTCACTGTAGGGCGCGTGCACTCGCCAGACAGACAGAGAGAGACATAGAGACAGAAAGCGAGAAATCACCCCCCAGGGGGGATGGTCACGCCGCAATCCCTTCTCCTCCATTCTCCTCGGGATCTTGGGCACGCACGCACACGCGCCCGGCGTGAATTTTAAGCCACCGGGTCCGGGACACGAACCGCGGTCGACTATGTGGGAGTCCAGCGACATAGCCATTACGCTAACTGCTGTTTACCTCCAAATTTTTTTTGAGAGGTTTTTGCTACAGGGCATGTGCACTCGCCAGAAAGAGACAGACAGAAAGCAAGAAATCACCCTTGGGGATGGCCACGCCGCAATCCCTTCTCCTCTCAGGATCCTGGGCACGCACGCACAGATGTTCGGTGTGAGTTTAAGCCACTGGGTCCGGGACTCGAACCGCGGTTGACTACGTAGGCGTTCAGCGACATAGCCATTACACTGACCGTTGGTCCCTCCAAAATTTTTGCTTTAGAGAAAAATAAACCAAAAAAGTGGATCCATCTCTTTTGGGTATTATATGGATCAAGTTGAGTAAATTAAGTTGGGCTGACTGGCAGTGGTTGAGGGGGCAGCAGTGGTTGAGGCCCTGGACTCCCACATGGCCGACTGATTTGAGTCCTGGATCTGGCAGGTTGCTTTCTCATTCCCTCCCCCGTCTTTGGTGAGTTCATGGGCCCAACAGCAACTTTTTTAAAAAAAGTAATGTGGCAGAAACAAACAGGTTCACTGAGCCTCTTTCTAGAAGTCAGTGCTGATAGAATGGGGCTTGAGGGAGGCTGGTGGCTGAGTGGCCAATAAAGGCAGTCCAGTAGCACACCCGTTTTCTGGGGAGGCCCAACCCTGCCCCGACACGCGGGCACAGAGAGTGGAGGGGGCAGCAGATGGGCGTGCAGAAGTGAGTGCATGCTGGGTGAAACCACCTTTGTGTGGAATATGAGTACCCTTCCTCACAGCTGTTTATGAGCAACTCCCCAGAAGGAAGGAAACAGCCCTTAGCAACAAATACAGGAGGAAGTCCTCAACCACAGGCCACTCAGTAGCAAGTTAAGCCAGTGATACTTTAAACAGCAGTGGAGCCCAAGTGGAGGAAACCATCAGTTTCATACTCTAGAAGTAGAATGCCACATAGGACATTGGGCCACAATTATCTGTTGTTTCTCTTACCAGGGGCTACCCACCAACGTGATGATCGAGTGGTCTGAACACAGAAACGGAGAGACCAAGGTTCAGCCAGATGGCCCCACAGCTTCAAGGATCTAGCTGAGGCTCTATGAACTGGAGAAGTATGAGAACATAGCTTGTCACTAGATTATACTCTAATGTCTGATGGGGCACAGAAGCACGCTCCTTAACCACTGACCACTAGCAAGTGGCCAACTCCTCAAAACAGCACAGCTACTATTTCAGCTGAAAAAGCCTCAGTTTCATTTTCTACTCAAAGAACTCTGCAAAACAGACCGCAGTTCTTGGTTTCAGTACTGGGACACTGGTCCCGTGTGGCGGGGGAGGGGGCGGGAACGGCAGGCTCTTTCAGGACTCCACAGTGTTGGGGTTCCATCTATACGATCCTGGAGGGGACTCTAGCTCTAGAAGCTAAGCCTGGATCTTAAGTGCAAGCACAGCATATTCAATAAAACATCTTTATTCTGTACAATATATATGTATTTAAATATATATATGTACATATTTATATATCTGTATATGCAGAGAAACCTCATCAACAAATCCCTGAGTCCGTGGGAACCCAGGACACAAACAGAGAAAGGAGGAACTCCATGCCTAAGGAGTAGGGATATGGCATACGTCTTTCCCCTTCCTCCAGGTTCCCTGCAACAGAGGGAAGGGGATGATCGCTACAAATTACTAAAACAAGAGAGGGCTTTTCTGTGGGAGCAGGAAGGAGTGGCAGGATGGGGAACTATGGGTCAGGTCCCCTCAGCCACTATTCCAAGCAAAGTCAAACATTTGATTCAGCATGAAAGCCACAGATGCGTGACTGCAGAGCAGAGGACGAGACTGACGTGCAGCTGACCTAGGTACCCGAGCCTCTGCTCGGCAGCCCCACGCCCAGGCCAGCACAAGTAGCACCTGTGGGGCTTGCGGAAGGAGGAACCGGGCAAACGGCCCTTGAACGAAGAACGGTGAGGGGATAAAGCTGAGGAGCAGGCCCTGGGCCTGCACAGGGAGAGCACTGCCATCACTGTCCCTGGGCGTCTCCAGGCCCGAGGCCACCAGATGGCCAGGAGTAATGTCTTCTGTCCACAATCAGGTAGAGGGGGGCAACTTAACATGGCCTTGAAAAGAGGTATAGAAAAAGGAGTGCTCTCAAGGACCACCCCTGACAGCTTCTGACGATTCTCGATGTGCAGGGACCATGCTGGCAAATCACGCCGTCCTGAAAGTGAGGCTGGGGCGGCTGTGTTGGCTTCCTCAGTAGACAGCGGCAAAGTTGCCAGAGTTGTTGAGCCAACCAGGTGGACATAGCTGCTGAGCATGGCTCTGAATTCTGTCTTCTCTCTCAGGACTGCCCCCTGGCCACATGAAGCTTGGCACCTCTCCAGAAAGGTGGTGGCAGGGAGTAGGTGGCAGAGGGCGCCCCCTCTCCTAGCCTAGTAACACACACAGCCGCCAACAGGGGCAGCTTGGCCAAGTCACCTTATATATTGTAGGACAGCAGTAGAGCTGTCCCTGCCTAGAGGACTCAGAAGCCCATGTTGGCCTGGGCTTCTGCTGTAATGGCTTGCACATCAGTGACATGCCCAATGCCCTTGGTGACACCCTCTCGGAACAGCAGCTTGGCTCCCACCTTCAGATACTCTGGGTGTTTCAGGAAGCGGAAACGTACCACTGCCTTCTCCCCCGTCCGCAGCTTGTCCTGCAGCAGATAAATGGTCACTGCCCTGGCAATGCCACCCACCCCACTCTCTACCAGCCTTGGACCTCCACCCTCCGGGAGCCTATCAGCCTGCTGCCCACCAACCACAGCTGGCCACTGTTCCCTCTGTGGGATCAGGGAGTTCCCCATAAATCTGGGGCGAGGCCTCCCTCCTTTCTAGAGGCTGGAGAATTCTGACTTTTCCCTCGAGCAATGGGAGCACAGCTGGGTCCCTCTCACCTTGGCATGGATCTTTTCCACTACTGCTGTTTGACGTACATTGCCCACGTGTACTGTCACCTGGAATCCTCGGCGGAAGGTGGTGGCATGGAACAGTAGGACTATCTCTGCCTCGAACACCGAGCAGATGGTGGGATTCATCTCGGGGCTCACCATCACCATGCCCTGGGGAGGCACAGCCCCCAGGCCCAGGAAGGGCAGACCTAGCATTAGACTCTCCCTCCCTAGCCACCCCCACACCCTTTCTTTTCACAGCTCCTGGATTTCCTCCTCCTCTACACAACTCCAGACGCTAAGGCCGCAGCGTTTGGACAACACTCAGAACCTCTGCTTAGAGGGAACCCTTTTCTACCCAGCTCCTGTGACCTCTAACCCTGCGAACGCTTTGTTTCGGGTGCTGGAAACTGGACCACACTGACTGCCCTGCACTCAGTATCCTAAGCCATTTCAGTTTTGTGTAACCACAGGCTTCTCAGGTCAGAGGCCACGTTTAGAGTTTGTCTGAAGCACCCTAGGCGATGCTCCTCACTCAACAGCCACCTCTGTGTGCCCTCCCGACCCGTCCCACCTCACCTTGCGCAGCAGTGCTCGGTCAAAGTCCCCGAGGGCCAGCGTGGCCGCCTGCCCAGCGCGCAGCACACGACAAGCGGAACGGTTGCGCTGGATGCTGCATACTCTCAGCTCCAGGAAGCAGCCGTCGTCCGTGGGGCCCACCACCAGCTGGTCCCCCTCACGGCAAATCCCGCTGCAGCCCAGAGTGCAGGTGGCACAGCATCAGCCTAGGGCCCCCTACCAACTTCCGTAAGGCACCCAGAACATTCCTTCCCTTATGGGGTTGAGTCCCTCGAGTGGGGGGAGGAAGGAACCCTAAATCCAGACTGGAGTTGAGTGAGGCGACTGTCTTGCCCCCACCCAGAGTTCATACCCTGGAAGCTAACACCAGAGAAAGGCCAATGCTGAGGGCTGCCAGAGGAGCTCTGCTGGTCTGACCGCCCCGAACACCTGATCCATGAGGGAGCAAGCAATCCCATCCTCCCATCCTTCTCTTTGGAAAGAGTCTAAAGCACTTCTCATTTTCCCACTTGGAGATACAGTCAGCTGACACACTAGTTTTCTTCCTGGGGCCCAAGACCCCCACATCTCCCTTGGGGACCTGGAGATTCCCAGTGAACAGCCTGGCTGTCTCTAGCTCTTCTGATAGTGAGCGCCTGAACTGCAAACGAGCACATCCTTCAGATGGGCTCTGTTCACTGCCAAGGTCTCCTCTGGGCCAGGGTGTCTTCAGTGTATGGGTATGTGAGGGCGGAGTGGGGTGACGGCAAGCAAGGCAATTCACCTGGAAAGTGTCCCTCCAACAACAGTCCCCACCTCGGGCACTGTGTAGATTTCATCCACCTGAAACCAAAGAAAGCTCTATCAATGACCTGCCAAGTAGGCCTGGCAGGTCCAAAGTCTCTAACACAGACGCAGCTTGGTCAGACTCAGCCCCTCCCTGTCCCCCAGCCTGCCACCTGGTTGGGTGGCCGACTACCTGGAACTCTGTCAGCTGCTGCATGAGCTCTTCCTGCTCTTTGCTGTTGGTGAGTGGCGGCAGGATATTCAGAAAGACTTTGAGGAGGTCCAGACTTTCTCCAGACACGCTGGACAGTGTGAAGATAGGAGTGACACTGTACAGGGAGACACGGAATGGGCAGGTGAGCAAAGTCCTGACAGGCAGAAGCCAGGACCCCAGACCTGGACAGGGGGCTATGCTCTGGGTGGCTGGAGGCCCCACTCGCCTGCCTGCTAATGACTCAGGAACCCGCCCGTCTGTGAGCCAGCCAAGGAATGTGGCACACGATGTCCACCCCATAGCCCAAGGGAGACAACGAATGTCCACCCTGAGTGCCTGGCAGCAGCGAAGCTCTAAGGTGGTGTGGAGGGAAGGGTCGAGCCCTTCTGCAAAGACTCCTTCCCACAATCCCGAGCTGGAAACCCACAGAAGTGAGCCAGAACGGGTGTGGCCCTGGGCCCGAGGCAGGCTTCCCAGTGCATCAGGGCTTCGGGATGAAGCAGGCTTACTTGGGCGACTGGGCAAACTGCTGGGCAGCAGTGACAGCATCATCCTCAGAGGTGACCAGCATAGGGACCTTGTGGCAGCCAGGCTGCTTGAGGACCCGCTCCAGCTGGCGTACCGTCCTCTCCACTGTGGTCTTGGCACACAAGTCCACCTTGCTGACCACGATGAAGAAGGGCACTTTCAGGGCCAGGGCCAGCCCCAGGTGTTCCCTTGTGGTGCCAGCTGCCTCAGAAAGGCAGGCAGGAGGGAGGAGAGAGAGGGAGAGGAGGGTTGGTCTGGCTCCCAGATTTGAGAAGCCCAGAGTAGGTGTCAGCACCCTCAGCCTCGCCCCTGCCCCATTGCCTCGTACCAATCCCTGTGTTGGCACTGACGAGGAGCAGGGCACAGTCGGGACAGTACGAGGTGAGGCCGAAGATGGTGGTGTGCAGGTACTTGTGGTGACCTGCCAGGTCGATGAAGGTGATCATCTTGGAGCTGCTCTCACAGATCTCTTCTGCCGTTCGTGAGTCGCTGTAATTCACCACCTGGCCCAGAGCCCAGGGCTCTCAGTGCCACCTGCCAGCCGCCCCAACCCTACAGTCTCTGGGTAACCCTGCGTCTCAGCCCTGAGCCCCGCTTTTTATTCAGTTAATTCCCACTCATTTTCTAAGAGGGGCAGAGCTCGTGCAAAGTGCCCCGAAGACCTTCAGCTATACTACTCCACAGTGCCGCGCTCTGCCCCGGCCTCTGGCCTTCACCACTACCAGCCCGTCCTGAGTCTGGTCCCACTGGGTCCCGCTGATCCCATGCACCTCTCCCTTGCTGTTAAAGCCCAGGATCTCGAAGCTGATGCTGGAGGTTCGGCCAGACTGAATCTCATGCAGGTGGCGAAAAAGGTTGAGCCGGGCTCGGCCCCGACCATTGTCCAGCTCTCCCTGGGTCAGGACTCCAAGCAGAGTCGACTTCCCTGAGTCCACATTCCCAAGGACGGCCACACGGAGGTCTAGGAACTGTGGAGGAATTGCCAGAGGTAAGGTCTCCAATCCCTCGCCTTTCTCCCTGAAGGTCAGATCAAGGGCAGTCTTGCATCTTCAGGGACAAGTGATGAACTGGACACCCCCAAGATCCTAGGCCAAGCAAGAGCCTACCACCACGGGGCCCCCGGGAGTGTGGGCCCAGACCAGGGGAAGGCATGTGCTCACCTGCTGGTTGTCAGGGACCTTTCGTACCAGCACCTCAGTGATCTTGCGGGGAGTGTCGCTATCATAGTCCACTTCTCGTTCCCGGAGTACGGTAATGTCGGCCCCGACCCTGTCATGGCATGATCACAGCTGCCATATCGCACCTGCACTCCTCCACTCCATCCTGGCTCTGGACCAGCGGCCTTCCTGCCCCCCTGCAGACCTCTGGATGCTCCTGCTCTTCCTGCCACCCTCCAACCTATCCCTCACCCACAGTTCCCTTAATGACAAACAGAAGACACATCTTAGTCAAGGTGTAAAAAAGCCCAGGCTCGGAGCAGGAGAGCAGAAAACCAACCATCCCCACTTCCGCCCTTTGCCAAGAGAAGGCAGCTGAAGGCAAGTCCTGCTTTGGCCGCTCAGTTCCTGGCGACCTGGCATGCGTGGGTCCCCAGAGTTAGGCAAAGCAGAGCCGAGGGGGAGGGAACGCATACTTCTCCGCCATCCGGTGCAGGGTCTTGAGGGAGGCCCGCATCTCCTCCTCAGCCAGCCCCACCAGCAGCCCATTGTCCTCCACCCCAATCTGGTAGACAGCCTCACCGCGTCCCTCTTGCAGCCGCCACTTCATTTGTGTTACCAGGTGCTCGAAGCGGTACTGGGATGGATTCACCAGCTTCAGCTTCAGGCAGGTGGATATGAGGAGAAGGTGAATCAGAGGCGCTCCTCCCAAACCCACACAGTCCCCACCTGTGCTGCTACAAGGACCACGGCCCTCCCTTTCCATCTAAAAGCCCCTCGTTCCTTGACCACCTGCCCCCAACCGTGAGTCACCCTCCAGCAGAATGAGGCACTACGCTGAGTCACATCCCTAAACTGCCGGAGATCACGACGTTGGGAGAACCTCGAAGAAATTGCCCACCACTGGCACGGACAACCTGCCCCATCCCCTGATCCTCCCCCGCCTGCCACTCACTTTGTATTCAATGTTTCCATCTTCAGCCTGAAAAGAAAGAGACCAGTTAGGGCACACTGTCCACACTCCATCCCTATTTGCCTTCCGTTCTCAAGGGGACCCAGGCAGCTAAGGAGAGGAGGAAGCCAGGTAGCACCTTCTAGGCAAATGCCTGCCTCAGGTGAGTGTCAGACAAGCCCTCTATTCAACCCCAGTGCGGCCTCTGAAGGAAAGGCCTGTAAGGACCCAGTGAGTTATTCATTTAAGCCAAGAATAGAGCCTGGAGTCCCTCCTTTCCTGGATCACCGGCAGCACATTCCTCCTAGGTACAAGATCACTCCTTCCTTCTCCCCAGGGCCTCCAAAGCTGTTCGCAGAAGACTGTGTCTCGCCTGCACCAGGCTAGTGAAGGCCCTCCTTGCTACGGATCTGGGAGGCACCATTTCCTTCCTGCCCGCCCCTCTCATCTGATGTCACCAAGAGTAAGAGGCTGCAAGAGGTTCTGGACCAGGGCCAATGGGTGAGCTCAGCAGTGGTCGCTATGAGCCCAATGGGAGAAGAGCCCCAGATGAGAGAGGGGCAGAGCTCCAAAGTTGGGACCGAGATAAACAGAAGAAACTCAAGCGATGTAACGAAGAGGACAGACTCCGTAAACCAGACTCATTTCGGCTTTCAGGCTCTTGTCGCCTTACCCTCAGTTGAGGGTAAAATCCTAAATCCACCCTACCTTCCCCAGATGGTCGCACACACAGAAACATCCTGTTGACAGAAACTGCCTTTCTGGGTGCACAGGGTTAGGGGTGAGCCCGTTCTGCATTTCTGTACGCTTCCTCTCTGGCTATTTTATTGTTCCTCTTGCCTTCCCATCATCATTCCATCTCTTAGGCCCTCTGGCTCCCAGGCTCTAACATGTCTTTACCTGTAATCTCCATCACATGCAGTGTAAGGGAGATCTTTTCCCATCAACACAAAGGCCTTCCAGAAAGCGTTTGCTCTTTTTGCTAGGGGTGGAGAATTAGGATGGCTGACTTCGGAAATGTGTTACTATGATGACAGTCTAGGCCAGTGACTCCCAAAGTCTGGTCCAGGGACCAGCAGCATTGGCAACACACAGGAACTTGCAAGAAATGCAGATTCTCAGGCTTGCCCCTCTCCAACTGAATCAGAAATTCTACAAGTGGGCTAGCAATCTGGATGATTCTGATACAAGCTGAAGTCTTACACACTTCCCCTGGGTCTTCTTTTCCTACATCGGACAAAGTAGCATCTCTCTCTGTCCTAAGGGCTGAAGGAGCAGGTGCGTGGAGGCTGTCTCCACCCCTCACAGGACAGGCAAAGGGTGAGAGGACTAAGTCCGACAGTCCCCGGGCTTTACGATTGTGTATCCGTGCTGAGGGACAGGGAGGGAACATACTGCTCTTCCCCGGGGTGCGCCCCTCCTCCCTCTGGAACAAGTTTACGTAAAGTGTTGATTCTTCTGCCTGCGCCCTCATCCCAGGATGCAGCCGAAGGGGGTCGGGAAGTTCTACTTTGCTTTTCCCAAGAGAATGGGATTCCCTTTCTCCTGGGGTTACGAAGAGGGCGGTACCCCTCCAGGCTCTTCCTCCCGGAGAGCGAAGAAGAGGTCCAGTCTCCCTAGTCGTCCTCCCTGGGGTCTTGACACCGGAAGGGGGATTAATTCTCTCTGTCCCGCCTCCCCAGTGTCCC